AGGAGGTGAATCATTGGTCCAAAACACAGTGCAGAAATAATCCAGTTTGAGACTGCTTTAACTTCCTTGGCTCAGTGCTTGGGAATCCTAGGAATTGTAGTTTATTACGGCACCAGAGCTCTCTGACAGAAGAGGTTAAATGTCTTACAAAACTACAATTCCCAGAATTCCCTAGCACTGAGCCAGGGCAATTAAAGCGGTCTCAAACTGAATTATTTCTGCAGTGTGTTTTAGACCATTTTTACTTACTTTACCTGACCTGTATATTCACTGTATGTAAGCATGGGGCCATATTCAAATCAAAGCTGAAAACTAGATTTCTCTTTTAAATTGGGGGTGGGGAAGCAATATGTTGCTGAGTTCTAATTTGCAAAAATTGCCCTGTTGTGATTCATAATTTGACTGAGGAAATTCTGAATTCTTTCCCAGTCCTTTGCCAACTTTTTTTCCATAGTAAAAAGAGATTGTAACACAGCTTCCTCTCCAGTGAACCAGCATTGTAACTGGTTCTATAATCTACCATAAAACTGTCTCAGAAATAGTTTGAGAAGCACCGGTCCAGACTATGGGTTGTGATAGACAGAATTCCTCCTCACCCCTCCATGTGCCAGGGACTGGTACTATATTTGTAGTATAGTATTATATTTATGCTTTTCCTAGAAACACACCCTAGACCTGCTGCCAATGGTTTATGGACCAGCACCAGTCTGCAGACCATTGTTTTAAGTAGCACCGATCTAGGCTAATGGGAAAAAACACTTTTTTTCCTAAAATACATTTTTCTTTGCAGGAAACTACTTTTAGGTAAGTTTGAATCTTTCACTATGCAAAAAATATATTATCCAGGGGCTCTCAAACTTTGAGCCTCCAATTGTTTTGTACTTCAACTCCCAGAAGCCTCTGTCCACATAACGGATTCTAGGAAATCTAGAAGACCAAAATTTGAGAATCACTGTATTAGGCTATTTATTAACCAAATTGTTAAATTGGTTTGTCAAGGTTTCCTGGAACTCCTTTTAACACCATTTGTGTTTATAATAGATTAAAGTAATATATTCTAACAGTGATGCTGTGAAAGACTTGACACATGGTGTAAATAATAGCATCTTGGAGGCTTTAGATGTCCCAAATCAGTCATACTGTGTGCATAGTATTATTTGAAGTTGGTGGCTTGATGCTTAAAGAAGCCCTGGTAGTGTAAAATAATAAGTGCAATGGCACAATCAGTAATTTGTTGTAAACAACTCTGTTAAAATACTGGAGACAGTTGGATGCATGTGTAACTGGAGAACCAACAAGGCATGTGAACCTATTATGTGGTCCTGTTCAAAAGTGGAGCAATGTCATGTGAACCCTGGGTAATCATAATTGCTGTGGAATGTTATCATTTCCTATACTTTTATTTGAAAAAAAATGTGTTTGTGTTGTTGTTGAAGGCATACCTGTCTGCATCATAGTTGTACATGGTAAGAAATTCTGGTATTATGCAGGTGGAGCAGAAGCAAGGTGGGTTATTTTTAAATGCAAAGCCATTTGCAGATTTTATGTGTTAATTTTGCCTTTGTCCTTATTATAGTGGGATCTTGAAATCGCAGAGCTGTGGGCTCATGGGCGTGTGGATGGTAATTTTAATAAGTTGTTCAGTTAATGTTCACACACCTTCAAGGGATTAAATTAATTATATCATGGCGGGGGGAGTAAAAAATTCTAAAACTTACACAAAACCACTTTGTACAGATCTAAAAGTGTGCATATTTTAATGAGATACAAGATAGGGAAGCATCAGGAAGTCAAGCTATAGTAGACTTATTACTGTTATGAACTGTACCAGTTCCTTGTACAATCAGCGGTAGCAATAAAAAAACCCAAAATTTTGGACATACGTGTGGGAGCTTCATCTCAATCCCTTTAAAGAATGATTTTTTTAACAATACTCAGAAAAAGGAGGAATAATTTCAAAAGAATATACTGGCACTTAATAGACTAACAATTTTTATTTGGCATAATCCTTTGACTACATCTTTCTTCATTGGATGCACAGAGGGGCTCTTATCCATGAAAGCTTATGTCATATGAAGTATATTGGTCTTTAAATTGCCACTAAACTCTTGTTGTCTTTTGCTGCAGCACACTTAACACAGCCAATCTCTTGAAGTAGTTTTATTTCATGTGTCTATTTGATTAGTTAAAAATAGTCTAAACCATCAATGAGGAAACAATCCTGCTCCAATTTCTATTCCCTGGTCGTTCTGACATCACCATGTCTGGCTAGAGACTTATTTCAAGGAGGAAAGCAGAGATACAAAAGTTGAGGTAGATAAACAGCACCTGCTCCCTTATTAGAAAGCCCACTGATAAGAGTTCAGTCCTTGGGTCTATCTCTTCCCTTAACACGCCAACCAGGGATTTGGGAAATGTGGAAGAGCCAACCAAATACTGTTTCCTTTCTTCATTCACTATGCAACAATACACATGGGAAGAATGGGATGGATGTATGTACTGACAGAATGATGTCTGCATCCTTGTGACAAAGCAAACTTGCTGAACATTTCTGACTTACACTTGGCAGCATTGTTTCTTGGTACCTTAAAAGTACAAACACTAAATCATAGTGTATTGAAAAGCTACTATCAGTTATCCATCATTATTTACAGTGCTGAATCATAAAAATGTTTCAATTCATCACAATGTAACATTCTTACATCTTGAGCCAAGCACAAAAAGGGTTTAATAATGCTCTACCATTGTATTGTATACATACATTGGCTCTTGAAAGAACATCACTGGCTACCATTTCATTTCTGAGTACAATGAAAAGTGCTGGTGTTTAAAGCCATTTATAAAGTCAAGCTCTGTTACCTGAAGAAGTTCTTGTTCTCATATTGATTTGCTTGTATAATGAGGTCATGTTGGGTGGAGGGGCTTTCTTTCATTATCCCCTGCCATTCAAGGTACGGAGAGAGTGATGACTAGATATTCTCCTTTTTTAATAGAATCTCCTTTCTAGAAAAGTTCTGTGTCCTGGTAGCTAACTTTTCTGGACTAGATATTGTTTTATTATACAGTCACCCCTCTGTTCTCACAGACTTGAAGTCCACAGTTTTGCATATTCATGGAGGGGCAACCTCTATTTAAATCCTAGATATGGGAATTCTTTAGCTATTTCAATTTCCTCATTGACTAGATTGAATTTGTGTATTTCTATCTGTGGTGATTATTTTTTTCTTTATGTTCAGTATGAGACTTGCTTTTGTACTTGCATTATAGTTTTTGTAAGAATCTTTATACTATTGATTAGTTAAGTAAAGGTTACAGTTATAACTTTAGTGTAAATTAATTAAATCATTTCTATTCTCTCAGAATCTGAATTATAAAAATGCTTGATTTTACTAATGGTGCTAAATTGTTAGGGTTCTTCATGTTGAAACTGTACCTTGAAATGTGACCTAGGGTCCAAAAATCTGAACATTAGACATTTGCATGCTTCTCGGAAATGTAGGCTTCAGAATAAATGATACTATACTAGTAATGCTAGGCCAGGGGTCGGCAACCTTTGCTTACCTGCGGCCGGTCCCTTGCGGTGGTCCCTTCCGGCAGGCCGGGGGGGGAATGGTGGTGCGCATACTCATGCGCGCACGCATCCCCGCTGCTGTGCGCGTCCCCATCGCCGCGCGCATGCTATTGTCGCCTCCATGCATGTTGCAGCCATCATTTTGTTTGCCAAAATGGCGGCTGTGACTCATTTGCGCATGCCAAAATGCGCGGCAGTGGTGGCGGGCGGTAGCGGGGGCCGGTAAGCAAGTGTCCTCAGGCCGGATGTGGCTCACAGGCTGTAGGTTATCGACCCCTGTGCTAGGCAGTGGTAATCATTAGGAAAATGACCATTGACTCTTTAAAAATGTTTACCTCCTAGCTGAGGTTAGCATTATACTTGAAAGCAGACAAGCCATACATGAAGTGCAACCTTGTGTAGAAGGTCTACTTCCTGTTTGGAGGTTGGAAACCAGTAACAGCTAGGAGCATTCATTTATTTCTTCAGTACAAAAACTTTGGTTTCTGTTAGAACAAACATTTTTTAACTCACTGTGGTCCAAAACACACTGCAGAAATAATCCAATTTGAGACTGCTTTAACTGCCCTGGCTCAGTGCTAGGGAATTCTGGGAACTGTAGTTTTGTGAGACATTTAGGGGCAAAACAGATGCCCCCAAAAGTCCAGCTCTACACCATGCCTTTGAGCGCCAGAATAAGGCTGCAGAAACCATACGCCATGGCCCCGATCCAGCATTTTTCCAGCCCAAAAAGAAGTGGCAAAATGGCACTCCTTTTTGGGATGGGAAAAAAGTGCTCTTTCTGCTGCAGTGGTGGCTTTTTGGCATTTCTGTGGCACGGTGGATGTAATGTTGCGCTGCTGAAATGCTGTCTGCTGTGTGGTCAGCGGTGCGGCATCAGGGCATGCGTTGTATTTTTTGCTGGTTTGCTTTGCCCCAAAGTCTTCTCTGTCAGAGAACTCTAGTACCACAATGAACTACAAATCCCAGGATTCCCTAGCACTGACCCAGGGCAGTTAAAGTGGTCTCAAACTGGATTATTTCTGCAGTATGGATTGGACCTGTGTTGTTTAAAAAGTGTCAAACTCCATTTGCTACAAGATCTGAAATTGACTTACCTTTCCTCTCTAAAGTTGACAGCCATTTCTGTCCCCTTTCCTCCACCACTCCCATTCAGAGTTTCTGTGACTGAATTCCTTCAACATTTCCTTGCAAGTAGATTTCCTTTCCATTGCTCCCATGTGCCACTGTACTCCTTTACTGTATCTTGTAAGGTATTCTTGAAACCAATCTTTGTTGTTGTTGTGTGCCTTCAAGTTGTTTCTGACTTATGGTGACCCTAAGACAAACCTATTATGGGGTTTTCTTGGCAAGATTTCTTCAGAGGGGGTTTGCCATTCTCTGAGGATGAGAGAGTGTGACTTGGCCAAGGTCATCCAGTGCGTTTACATGGCTAAGCCAGGATTTGAACCCTGGTCTGCAGAGTCATAGTCCCAACGCTGAAACCACTACACCACGCTGTCTCTGATCTTGTCAGTCTTTAATGTTTGTGTTATCTCTACTGGAGGAGTGGGTTGATATGATGTGATTCAGATTTTGTTTTTGTCAAATACAGCTTTTCCAATATTTTGTTTCCTGTATATAGGCAGCTAGCAGTTTCTATTAACCTTCTCTCCCAAGTACCTTCGCCTCAGTGTCTATTAATGTCATGCTATCCCTTTTGGGGTTTCCTCTTCTTCTTCTTCTCTCTTTAATCTGACTTCTGTATAGTTTTCCATTTCTGAGTTCTCAATTTCCCTTCCTTTGTTCTTGCAAAAAGAAGAGAGGTCAACTGCTTTCCCTTCAACTGTCAAATCCAACGGTTCTTCTTGCCCCTGAGGGCAACATTCCAAGGGCCTCCCTTGGCTTTGAGGAAGGCCAACTGCCATTTTTGGCCAACTCCTTCTCCAGAATTAGGCAGTGACCATTGCACACAACCATGATATAAGGGTCACTTTTCTAAAATTTCTCTTCCCTCACAACTTTTTTTTTGGGGGGGGGTGCTTCCTTTTAAACATCAAGGCTTTTAAACAGGGAAGGGTAGACTTCAGGCTTGTAGCTATATTTTCCCCTCCCCTTCCCTTTGCTTTTATTTTGTGAAGTTGAAGATATACCCAAGATCCACCAACCACCTAAATGGATAAGAAAATACACCTAAGAGTTAAGGAATGTGTTGCCACTGAACATATTCTGAGCCTTGGGTTTCTGTACCAGAAATGAAGGGAGCACACTGTACTTTCACACAAAAGTCTAAGACTGGTCACTCCATCTCCCAAGTTTTCTGTATTTCAGCAGCCGACTTTATCACACGGGGGAAATCCCATGCAGAAACGGGGTTTTAAATAGGAAAAAAAGAAAAACCCGCAAAAGCCGGTAGATTTTCACACATGTCGATGTTAAAATGTGCTTAACCCGAACGGAAAGTAGTCAAAAGCCGCTTCTTTTTATTT